ATGGACATCATCAGAGCTGGGTTTCATTCTTGTAAGAGTCTCACGTTAATACTAAACCAAGAACACTATCTCTCAATCTTAGACGGCTCCCCTTCCTCTTGTGCACTCTCAGAGCAGATAAAAAATAGACGTTCGAACGAAGCCAAAGCAGTTTATTGCAGATCCAATTACTTTGCTCATACAGCTAGTCTGTCGAGCAGTTATTCTTTCATAGTCCCTACTTAGCCCTGCCTTTGGGATTCTCTTGTACCGCCCCTGGCCCGATAAACCTTGAGCCTCAAACCCGCGTAACTGGTACCTACGTACACCAGCTCAAACGCACTCAACTAAGTAGTATCCCTTTACAGCCTATAAGATGAATTAAGAAAGTAGCCTTAAGCTTAATCGAAGTTATGAATACTAAGATGGCGTGAACTTTTGTATGGTCAGTCTCTTTTCGTTGTATAGAAGTTGCTGGACATTGTTTGCGTAACTTAGTCATTTTAGTAGGAACACCTAGAGGAACGCACCTAGTCCATGGTATGCATGATAATTTCCAGTCGGACCGTAGGCGTGATACATTCCCAGACGTTTCGCCGGCATAGTCAGTGAGCCTTGCCAGTCTTAGCATCACACTACAACTCGTCAAATAGCCAAATGAAGCCGATCTTTTGAGCAATCGTCTGATAAACAATTGTGGTGTATCTTCTTCTGCTCTGGGCTATTCACCAATCCTATTTCCTCGTGTCATCCATTCACTATCATAATTTCTTAATTGCTAATTTAAATGTGGTATGGTGTGTCTTTTTTAGCGGATTTCACGATACCTCTCCCTGCCCCACACTAGCTTTCTCCCCCCCTCACCCGTATTCACTATTGTGCTAGGAATGTTGATCAGTCTTCCATAATATTCTGCAATCCTCGCCCTCTTGCCGCCTCCTACCGTTCTTGTTCAGATATTTCACTCGAGCACTGCCATCCTATCTGTACTACTCGAAGCCTTATTTCCCACAGTGTCTCAAGCCTTTACTGGCACGCCTACTTCCGCGTATCCGAGTAGGCCGATAAAATCAGGATTCTCAAGCTGGGTGGGAGACTAACTTGAGGCTAAAGAGCCCTAGTAATTGTCATGATCAAGCCTTTGCTTCATTGACCACGTCCATGATCTAGCACGAATACTGTTGGCAAACTGATTCTAGTCGCCGCCGCACCTATTGTGCTTCTATCCATACTCCCAGGTCCATGAGTTCCTATGCCCGAGCCTCTTGTGTGCTAGCTAACAAATGTTATGGTTCTCTTGGTTTGAATGGGTTCAACGAATAGTCCATGGAAGGAGAGGTGCCACGGTTGTTTCACGGACAATTGGTCAAAGGATCGGCTTCACTTATCTCTTTGACAAGTTGTAGTGTGGTGCTAAGAATGGCAAGGCCCACTAACGATGCTGGCGAAACATCTGGAAATGTACCTCGTCCACGGTCCGACTCTGGAAATTATCATGCATACTATGGGCTCCGGACTAATTGCGTTCATCTAGGTCTTCTAGCCAATATGACCAAGACGCGAAAACAAGGTCAAACAACTTCTAGCATTTGGCTTGTCTGCCTCTTCCCTCTTCTCCACTCATAGTTGCGACCTCGATTAGCTTTTGTGAAATCCGTAAGGCCATGTCACGCCAGTAGCGTATCTCCTTGGCTTCGAGATAAGTCGGCCACTGCGGTGTATTTGTTAGCAAGCCTTTGCTCCCCTTGACGACATCACACATCAAAGATGGCACAAAAGGGTCCATCTAGTAACCGCAAGACCTTTGAAGGTCTTAAAATATTAGAAAATACCATTGGGTCAACTCAAAGTATTCACAACCTTCTATAGACTGTGCTAATTTAATATAAAAAAGATTTGATGGATAGTGCTGGTTTGGCATTTTTTCGTAACTTTGCTTTGAGAAAAGGGAAACCTTGTGAAACGTCCTTAGCTTCTTACCCTTCGCCATAGTATTCAGGTTAATTTCCAACATCAGTCCGTTAGTTTGCTAAAATCCCAAGCGTTTAGCCATCTGTAACAAATTGAGAATCCCAACTATGGTGCCACAAAGCGCTGGGCGTATACCAAGTAAGTGATCTAATACAGATTATACAAACACATTGGTAATTGAAATGTCAGGATTATCGAACCTGGCTTAAAAGCCGCAAGATCGACCCTCTATTTTACAGGATTGTTCCATATCACATTTTTCAGAGTTTACTTCTTTAAAACAATGTCGATATAAGAAGTTTTTAATAATTTTAGAATATGAGCTTAGTCAGCCTAGATCGTATAGGCTAATTTAAAGTCTAATAGTTGAGTTTTTTCTACAATCAGATAAATAGATCTAAACCATTGAATTTCATCTGCATTTATCTCTTAAAAGACTGGACTGAACTATCTACCCCGCCTAGAGCTCATCGACACCCCAACGGGATTTAATACCGGGTCATGAGTATCATGGCTACGCTGATCATTTCACTACATGGCTACGGCTATTGGTGAGCTGCAGGGCATTTTAGAAATTCAAGGCAAAACAGGTCTTTCACAACTAACATTTCATAGTGGAAGTGTTGATTTAGCTATAATGTATTTTCCTTTGTAATCGACGACGTTACAAAATGTTGATAAGATTAGTCTTCTAAACTGCCGTTCCCTTTGGATGAGATAAGCTCTTAGAAGGCAGTGGCAGTATCCGAAGTTGCAAAAGCCTTCTTCAGCCGCTACACCTCATTCTATCTTTAAATGAGCAAACCTTCTTTTAGAACGAGACTGCGACCACACCAGAGGCCACAACATCCTGGTCTTTATATCTTTAAACCATCTTTGAGTCCTTCACTCTCACCTCTTAAGTCGCAGGAGCAAAACAAAAGTAAATTTGCTCTCTCTCTCTCTCATCCCTATGGAGGCTTCCGTTGATCATTCTTGTTGTAGCCAGTTTTTATTTGTTTCCTTTTTTCTTCTGTTTTACTTTTCCTCTTCGACTGGATTTACGGCGTGAGAACTAGCCTCCCGAATCTACAAAGCTAGCTAAAGTGGAACTTTGCTCCAAGGCAGCATAGTGAGGAGGTCTAACGTTAAAACCGGAAACACAAGAGACCAGACAGGTAAGGTGGTTGCAGGAGATAAAGAAATCGAAGGTATTAAATGCTGCAGATCTTAGGTAACATTAGACTGGGGCTAGTCAAAGAAGTATCGTTGCCGCAAATTGACAGGTAATGGTGAGATAGCATGACATCATTTCCTAGCTGTAGTGATACATGTCTAAGTCTGATGGATATCTTGGCGGTCTCAGATCGAAAGGTTCGATCACGGAATAGATGAGGCTTGCTAGGAGTGTGGCAACTCTCTGAAAAAAAGAATCGCATGAATGTGGGATGCGCAAAGTTAATAAGTGGGGATACCATGACCATACAGCAAAGATCTGGCTGTCACAATGAGCTTCATTTATCAACGAAGAGACGCGAATCTGGGCCAATTCCTGACTCCCCTCAATGATGATCCCAAAAGTGATACGGAGGTAAAGTCAGAGATTTACAATAAATATGTGAGAAATGAGATAATAATTTACAATGAGGTTATGTAATTGGGAGATGAATTTATTCAACGCCTTTTCACAAGGGCTATTCTTAATATGCGATGCATGAGTACATGTGCAATGATGTCACCCTGTTATAGAACACAAACGTGTCAAATACACAAAAGAGGCTAAATCTGCTTTCAGATTTTGGTGGGAAGCCTCATTTTAGATAAAATTTTCCTAAGTGTATTCGAATTGACCGGCTTATTCGATAGTTTACCATGAGCAGCCAAGAAATTGACAGATAAATTGATGATAAAAGCCTTTAAAAATATATTAGTAAATTGATAAGTTCACTTAGAAAATTATTTTTCAAGATGAAAAATGGATAGTCAGAAGCCAGCTGAAATGGAACTCCAAACTGTCGAATCATGTAGACCTGACCAAAGTAGTGTTATTTGCTACTAAAAGACCATAGTATAACTTACAATAATATCGCTTGAATGGAATACGTTGTATACGTGCTTGCAAACACTTGGAGGTACAAGGCTTGGTTGGCTAGATTCGTTGTCCTTGTCAGTTGAGAGATTGCCGGATGAGGATGAAGCACGCAAACCACCTACACTCCGAGCATCAATGCGAGAGATATTCGGACGACTGGTTGGTGTTGGCGTGTCAACATTACTGCTTTCATCGTCGAACTGGCAGACCTACAGACAAGAATCCGAACAATATTAATTTATCACCCTCAGGCTTCATCTGTGACAGCCCGAAGATAGATAAAATAGGGAGAAATGACGAACAGATCCATGCTTGTTATCGTTTTCACAACTAAGGAACAAATTAAGCTTGGAATAACTGCTGTCACGAAGAAGCAAAGGAAATCATTGATCACATCTTCAAAATCATCATGTTATTCATTTAATAAATGCTGAAAAATTTATGTTCAACATAAATAGTTAGTTATCATGATAACCTCTGGTGGCTTTGGGTAATGAAAGCTCAGTTTCACGACCCAGTAATGGGAATTAAGCGGCAATATTTTACTTTTCGTCTACATAGCTCGAGTGAACAATGTATGAAAAGTCAAATGTGACTTTCGATCATAGCCATGTTTTTCTCTCTTTACGAGGATTGGTGGTGGGACTGACCTAAAAAGCCTTAGCTTTACGGGACAAGTCTGAATTTCAGGTCAAGACAAGTTTTTTCAGCCTATACTGTGTTTATGGGAGAATTTATGGCTTTCATAGATCTCCCTCAAACTCTGCGACTGGATTCGCTGGAATATGAACACCTTTCACTTATGCTTATTTTGACCCAAATATTTATTATTTCAACTGTGATGTGAACTTATTTGTTAGACATGTTAGTCATAATTGGAAGACAAGACTCGTAGTCAGAAATAAATAGAAATATTCCTGATAATAAACAGTCATACGTGCATTTGTGAGAATTAACATTTTGTATTTTGAAACAGTGCTCATGAGCATATAAATTTCTCAATCTTTTGATTGCTGCTTGCAGATCTAAAAATAGGGGCTGATGAGGATAGATCTAACCAGAATCCTCGGTCGCAAATGTTTGACATATAGTGTAACAATGGATATGTCTGCATATTGATGATGAAGAGTCAGGCCTGCATTTGAATCGCCTGCCTCTGCATCTAATCTATATTTTTTTAGGAATAATAGAATATATATATGAAATATATATTTAAAACTGCATTTTTTGAAATTTAAGGCTGGCAGACCAAATATAGAACTCAAGAAAAAATGATATGATAAGGAGTTTCAAGTTTAAACTAAGATCCACTGACAATGTACAGGGCAATCAGATTTACTACTCAAGAACCTTACCTTCGCGAGTGTTTAGACAATGAGCAAATATACTATTTTTATAACCCCTTGAAAAATAGGTATCAAAGATCCTGTAAAAACGAAAGGATCATTAAATAAGAGGCAATAATGACCTGCTGCATGGGTGAATGCAGGTT